ATATGTGTGTGTGTACTGTATTTATATACAAAATAATGTACTGTGTATTTGCTTAAACTTTGGTTTGATATGTGTATAACAGCAGATAATGTGTGATTGTGATTTGTGTTTAGGTGTTCGACAAGCCCTCTGGCTCAGTAAGTCAGTCCTCATTAAAGGGTTACCTGATCAAATTCTCACCCTTGCTGAAGATCCAGCCAATCATATTGAGAATCAAGATGAGAGAGTACAGAACGCCATTAAAAATTCCAGACTGTGGGACACCACAGAACACCGGCCACCCAGAGAAAGGTTCTGGTGGGTACTCTGACTGTATTACTGATCTCACTTCCGTAGTCTAGAAACAAGACTTACCTTAAAAAATGGCTTTGTCTCAAACATCATTCCTTAATTATAAATTGATATTCATTAATGAAGTAATGACACATTAATAATAAAATGACTGGACAGGCTATCATGACACCAGTGACTTTTTCAAAAAACTAGAACACACATATTAACTGACCATCTGTCTTTTATATATTTTTGTATGAAACTCATGAGCTTGTTTAGAGTTTTCAGAGTTGATCATTTGATTAATTTTTTTTTTTTAAGTTATTGAGTCTGTGTTCTGAAACCTAACAATGTTTTGTGTTTTACATTATTACATACTGCAAACTATTTCATAATTTAAAAACCATCCTTCCTTGAATTGGTTGAAACAAAAAAGGAAATTCTGTCGTTGTCTCGCCCTCATGTCATTACAAACCTGTATGACTTTCATTCTTCTGTAGAACATAAAATATATTTTTTATATTCTCTAAAATATGATAAACAAAAGCTCAAACGTGCTTGTTTAAAGGGGTCATATGATGCGATTTCAATTTTTCCTTTCTCTTTGAAGTGTTACAAGCTCTTGGTGCATAAAGAAGATCTGTAAAGTTGCAAAGACTAAAGTCTCAAATCCAAAGAGATATTCTTTATAAAAGTTAAGAGTCAGCCACGCCTACCTAAAACGGCTCGTTCTATCACGCCCCCACATATCCACCTCACTATGTGGGAAGATTTGCATAACGCCGCCCAAATGTTCACACAAATAAAGAAGGAATAACTTTTATTCTCGCTGTAGTATTGTTGCCGCCGCCGCCATGTCGTGAAGGCATGGTGTGATTCGTTGTGAAAGCGAAACTACTTTGTTTGGCCTTCCAAAAGAGGACGATATCCGCTTCGTCATGCCTAGAGCTGATCCGTGCTGGTCGCTGAGGAAATACAACAACTTTGCGCTGTAGATTACCGGATCAGCTTTCACGGTGGACGAAGCGGAGTCCAGCCCGGG